CAAAACAAAAACATGTAGCCCTAAAAGAAACCCCAGAAAAACAAACTGGGACAAATTCAGGTCAACTCTAGAGCTCAATCTTTCCAACGAACCGTCAGGATACCCTAGACATCCCTTGGAATTAGACAGAGCGGTAGACAACCTGGGTCACAAGATAGTAAATGCCTTTGAAGACAGTTGTCCTCTAGGTAGACAAAGGCGGGAAACAGACGCACCATGGTGGAATGCTAGTCTTGAACGACTACGAGTAACCACTCGGAAGCTTTTCAACAAACCAAAAACTGATAGAAACTGGGAACTATACAGGCAAAGCCTGACCCTCTACAACAAAGAGATCAGGAAGGCCAAACGGAAAAACTATAGGAACTTCTGTGAGGCAATAAGTAACGTCAACGAGGGCGCGAGACTGCAAAAAGCAATGGCTAAAAGTGCAGCGGATAGTAATTTAGCCCTGAGGAAAGGGAATAACACCGTCACCTCCACGGATCGGGAGAAATTAGAATTGCTATTTGACACGCATTTCCCGGGGAATACTCCCACTATGGGAAACGCAAGGCGTGATCAACATAGAACCTCTAGGACAGTAGCCAGTGACTGGGCAACAGCCAAATCTATAGTTACGCCCGAGAAACTCAAATGGGCTATTGGAACCTTCCAACCATTTAAATCACCGGGATTAGACATGATCTCTCCAGCTTTCTTACAGCAGGGGCAGGAACTACTCCTAACCCGCCTAAGAAGACTATTGGTGAGCAGCCTAGCCCTTGGGTATATCCCAAGTGCATGGTGCAGCGCTAGGGTGGTCTTCATCCCCAAGATCGGGAAGAAAGACATCACCAGCCCAAAGTCCTTCAGACCTATCAGCTTAACTTCGTTTTGTCTCAAAACGCTGGAAAAACTGGTAGACTACAACATCAGAAGAACAGCTCTCAGAGACTGTCCGCTGCAAAACACACAGCATGCATATAGAGCAGGCCGTTCAACAGACACTGCACTTTATCAACTATGTCGCACCCTAGAAGGGGCAATTGACAGCAAAGAAATAGCTATCTGTGCCTTTCTAGACATAGAGGGAGCCTTCGACAACACATCACATGATGCAGTTCGAGCTGCCCTGTCCAGAAGGAACATAGACACTACTACGAGCAAATGGATTGGCAACCTACTTGAATCCAGGCAAGCAACATGTACACTGGGTTCGGAAAGAGTAACAATCGCTACCAGCAAAGGCTGCCCGCAAGGAGGAGTACTGTCCCCTCTGCTATGGAGCCTGCTAGTAGATGACCTTCTCAGCAAACTTGCTGGAAAAGGAATTCAATGTCAAGGATACGCCGATGACATCGTGATAATCGCCAGAGGCAAATTTGAAGCGACACTCTGCGACATCGTCCAACTCGGACTAAGGACAACGCTAGACTGGTGCAGGGAGGTTGGACTCAACTTAAATCCTGCTAAGACAGTCATCGTTCCTTTCACAAGGAAGTACAAACTACAGAGAATGAGACAAATCTCACTGCTAGGAACTCCTATAGAAACTAGCCGAGAGGTTAAATATCTAGGAATCACTTTAGATAGTAAACTGACTTTCGCTTCCCATGTCCAAAAGACATTGGAAAAGTGTTATAGAGCACTCTATACCTGTCGGAAAATTGCTGGGAAATCCTGGGGAACCAGGCCTCAGATAATACGATGGCTATACTTAATGATCGTGAGACCAATCCTCACTTACGGAGCACTTGCATGGGGCAAACGAGCTAAGCTCATCAGCATGCAAAACCAGCTAGGAAAACTACAAAGACTTGCCTGCGTATGCATGACAGGGGCAATGAGAACCTGTCTTACAGCTGCCTTAGAAGTTTTGATGGAGCTAACACCACTCCACTATGTGATTGATATCCAACGCAAAGCTACACTCCTGAGAATAAGCACTGAGGGCACAGGTAGTGGTTGCATTCTAAATAACAGGGATGCGACTAATTTGTTAGGTGAGGTGCCCCTAATACTCCACCCTAGGGATGAAATGACAGCCGAACTAATCTTCGAGCAGAACTTCACAGCACACCTAGGCAATAAGAAAGATTGGACCACACTGTCTGAAGTGCATCCGATGGCTAAACACACCATTGCATGGTACACAGATGGATCCCTGACACAAGGCACGGGCCTTGCATAAAATACCACGAATCCCTTGGCCAATACACCAGCATATTCCAGGCTGAGGTATGTGCCATTGGACGTTGTGCAGAGCTCAACATACAGCGTGGATACAAGGAAAAGGACATATCGATCCTTTCGGACAGCCGAGCAGCAATTACTGCTCTACATAGCAACAAAATCACCTCGAAGCTAGTCCTAGAGGTGAAGAGTAAGCTAAATATACTGGGCAGTCGAAACAGGCTGGCCCTCAGATGGATTCCGGGACATAAGGACATATCCGGAAATGAACTTGCCGATAAAATGGCAAAACTAGGAGCCGAACAGCCCCTGGTAGGCCCAGAGCCCTACTGTGGCATAGGGAGGCACACTATAAAAGAATACCTTAGGAAAGCGGAAGGCGCCATGAGACAAGAACACTGGAGAAATACCCCAGGTCTTAGGCAAGCCAAAACTCAAATAAATAACTATAACAAGAAGAGGTTCAAGGAACTTATTCAACTGGGGAAAAACTCACTTAGGATCGTTACCGGATTACTAACTGGGCACTGTAGACTGAAAAGTCACCTAGGTAAGATGGGAATAACCAGCAGTAGAACTTGCAGATTCTGCGACATAGAGGACGAAACCTCTAGACACATCATTGCAGACTGTCCGGCGTTAGCAAGCATAAGATGTAAAATCTTAGGAACCAGAACTCTTACACCTGAGCTCCTAGTAAGAATCAACCCACTAAAACTCCTCGACTTTATTCGAGGAAGTGGGTTGATATCTGAGCTGTAGGCTCTGAATGGGGGTACAATAGATCTTATAGGTCGCGGTACACTGGACACCCCGATATTAATAATAATAATAAATAAATACCACTAAATAATATGCACCTAAATAATACGAATACTTATATTACAAGGCCAATAAATAATAATAACAAATCAATAAGAAAATATATTAACGACCAACAAATACCTAAGGCTAAACAAATTCACACTAATAATTAACTCCTAACAAAAAACAAGTCCCTTAAGTCTAAATTTCTTTTTCTATTGTTTTCCAGCCACAATAAGGGGAGATGGAGCCGATCACCAGCCGGTAGACTCCGCGCCAGTCGTCTTGCGCCTACAATTCCGTCCAAATTCTCTCTAAACAAGCCGCTCTTCAACTGGACTAACTTTCAGCCGTGCTGAAAGTCGCCAGTTAAGGAATTCGACTGTTTACAGGATCTCATAGGATTTCCTTTTGGAGTTGCGCTTTTCATTGAAGTCGCGGTGGCCGAGCAGCGCGTGAGGACGTCACGGGTCACGACCACACATTTAAGTTTGAAACCGATATGATATGAAAACGCAAATACCAAGAAAACCCAAGGATCTGCACAAAACAAACAACTACACTGTAACCCCAAAACAAAACATTCATTAAAATTACGTTAACAAAAACAAGAAAGAAAGCAAACTTCGGCAAGCCGAAGTTCATATACCCTTGCAGCTATTGCAAGAATTAAACATTTTTGAAAATATTAAAATTATGATTTACTTGCGTATATGTTCAAAAACATTGAAGCTATGATAATTTGCAGCTCAATTATTAGATAGTTATTTTATATATTTTTATTATTTCTTTGGGAGCTATATGATATAGTCGTCCGATTTTGATGAAATTTAAACCGTAATTCTAAAATATTAAACCATTACTATATGTCGAATAACTAATAGAAAAATTTGAAAACAGCAAAGTTATAATTTTTTTTGTATTTTTTTAATACAAATTTAATTCTGAAATATTTAACCATTACTATATGTCCAAGAACTAATAGAAAAATTAAAAAACAGCAAAGTTATGATTTTTTTTGTATTTCTTTTCCGATTGTTCCTATGGGAGCTATATGATACAGTCGTCCGATTTTGATGAAATTTAAACCATAATTCTGAAATATTTAACCATTTCTATATGTCGAAGAAATAAAAAAAAATTAAAAAACAGCAAAGTTATTATATTTTTTTATATTTTTTTCGATTGTTCCTATGGGAGCTATATGCTATAGTCGTCGGATCCTGCTCGTTCCGACTTTTATACTACCTGCCATAGAAAGACAACTTTTGGGAAAGTCTCATGATGATAGCTTTAAAACTGAGAGACTAGTTTGCGTAGAAACGGACGGACAGACGGACGGAGAGACGGACAGACGGACATGGCTAGATCGACTCGCCTAGTGATGCGGATCAAGAATATATATACTTTATTCGGTCGGACATGTCTCCTTCACCGCGTTGCAATCTTCTGACTGAAATAATAATACCCTCTGCAAGGGTATAAAAATATGTCCCTAATACCTATATCACAGTTATATCACAGTTTTTGGTTTAACCTTTCGTGCTTATTGCACGGACGACCTGGGATGCGAATCCTTCGATTTCCTTCGAAATGGATGTCACCGCCAAATCACAGCTAAACCCTGAAAACTGTGCCTCGGGAGCAATTGTCCTATCTCTAGTGGACACGCCTTCCTTTCTCCCTACAAAATTTAAATTTTCTCCCCCAGTCCGCATCCACGGTGCAATTACATGTGGGTCATGCAAGCCACCGTTCGTGGGCTGGCTGGAGATATAAATATGCGAGACGCCGTCGACTCGGTTATCACATATTTTGTTTGTTAATTTGGGCGCCATATTGTTATGGAACTGCATTTTTCCCGGAGGGCAGCGTCGGCTAGCCACGGAGTCCCAAGGCGGAGTACCCCCTATGCCCTGCAGTCCAAACAATCGATACCGGCTCATAGGACGTCTCACGTCACTGACTTGACGATTACCATCCCTATCACAAATCAAAACAAACAAGGTATTTTTTTACATCAAAAACTAAGACAATTGGACGAAATTGGTGGCTTCGGTGTCCTCGGTGCCCCAAGAATGATATTGGAGGCACACCCCATTTCCGGCAGACCGGAGTCTATTCCTGGTGGATTAGGATCGGCTCATCTCACCGCCCAAAGTTACTCACACAACCATCTCGGTAGCTTCTTTACATTTAATTTTGGGTAAGATTAATTATAGAATACATTCAAATTTAATTCCTACTCATGATCTACTCTTTTTTATTAGCAACACTTAAGGCTGAACTCAGACCGTCGCCTAAATAAGAAGTGGTCAAACCGATAATGGAAGGTACATTTTTAAACGCTTAAAATTACAAGTGTTTGGGCAAAAACGCCACGGATGTGAATTACATGACACCAAATTGGAGGCGTTTGCCAACCGGGTCACCTAATCCTGAGGAGCTCCAAAGGAAAAGAAAGGACGTGCTAAAAGGATAAGTACGCTAAATAAATCCCTTAATTCATTAAATTTCGCAACCCAATTTTAACGTAGTTTGACGCGCGGCTGGGGTGCGGAATAAATGCCTCTACTTCCAGATTAGATTTCACAGTGAGTGCCTTGAAACAATTCTTTGACTGCCTGATTTCACAAATTAATAACTAAAACTAATTTATTTCAGAGTTCAACGTCGGTCATTGTCGAAGCTGTGCTGCTGGTGGACGACGTGGTCTTCACGACCAGGTTAGGTCCACCTGGTAAGGATTTCCTTCCCGAATCTTTTAAATTTCCGGGGCCCTTTAGATAGGGTCCCCGGCGGCTTCAATATTTAAAAAAAAAAACACTGACATTTACAAGTTTAGGACTAATAAATAACTACTCACTTTGAGTTATCTAAACACTTATTACGAATTTTCGTCTCAATTTATTTCCCGACCGTTCTCCTACGACTTCTTGCAGTAACTAAAGCAAAACCCTGACCTACACCAAAGTCGCTCGCCATTTCTCTCCCGCTCTCCCAAAATGGGTCAGTGAACGTATCCAAGGCTATTTAACCCAGTTAACGAGCGGACCGGGCCAAATTTAAATAGCTAAATCCTCTCCCGCTATCAACAGTCGGTGTCACCACCGAATCTTATCGATAGCGGGACCTGCTGACGTATCGGTTGTTTTGGTATTTTCCCGACGGCTTCAACTAAAAATGCAACAAGCAAAACAAGATCTAGTTGAAATACGCCTTGCATGTTTTGTGACTTTCTTCGTAAAGCTGGTAGCTGACGAGAAAAATCCAGAAAACTTCAAACCGTCATTTAAAAAAAGAACGAGCGATCAGTTATTTGGACCGGCTTGGCATCACCAAACTTTTATCGATATTATAAAAACTATCGCTTAATTTCTCATCTCTTGATACATTTTTATTTTTCTCGGACAAACAATCAGTTCACACTCGAACAACATAATACTTCTTTTTTATTGAAATACCGTAAAGATTTTTGAAATTTAATATTTTGGTTTTATTAGTGTTTTTTATTTTGTAGTATGTTATCTATATTCAGTAGAATTTTTGGATTCTTTTTCTGTTTGTTATGGGTTTTTTTCAGATATGGTGAGAAAATTTAGGAGGGAATTGGAGAACGAATGGACGATGGGAGAGAAAGCGCCGCAGGCAAATATCGCGCGATTTTTGTTTAAAGAATGTGCTTGTCGATGGCATTCATCAAACCGATAATACTTCAATAGCATTAACGAAAATGATAATGTTTCGATGAACGTTAAGCAAGTTTGCTCATCTCAATGCCGTATCGGAACAATTACTTCGTCCCTCGTTTAAAATTACGGGTAAAAAAAAACCTATTTTGGACGATATCTCGTTTAAAATAAGCTTTACGCAAAAATGTCACCTAACATAAAATGGTAGATCATCTACTCTTGTTTTCATGTGTTTTTAATAAATGTAAAAAAAAACATAGATAACGGTTTTTACCGTTTTTTCAAGAAATTTGTCTTATAGCCTAATTCCATTGCCACGTTAGTGGACTTTTTAAATGTGCCTGTTTACATTGGCGCATTAGCATTCAGATAATGCTACTGCTAATGCTCAGCAGGACATCCATTATGCTGTCCGAGGTATTTTCCAGCTTGGACGACAAGAAAGAGAAGCTGATTGTGTCGTTATGACGGGTTTGCAGTGGAGACCACCACAGTTTCTAAAAAGGGCAAGGATCCCCTTATATGTGGGAGAAATGCATTGTGGTACTGCGAGCAGAAATTGCAGCATGCCCTCTAGGTTTCAGTCATTTTTATACAAAATACATTATATATTCAAAAGACATCAAAAATTGTGCCAATCTTGAATATCGAAAACATCTGTTGTAGTGGTGGCACGAACCAAATATCGTTAAGCATCGGTTATTTCCGGTATATTTCCTAAAAACGTTCGGGTCGAATGGTTTTTAATCGCATTTAATAATCGCATTTATTTTAAATGCGGCATTTAGCCGTATGGGATCCCCTGTGTAAATAAATGCGCATTACGCTAAATGCGTTGTAATGCGCCAATGGAATCATCCTATTAATAAAGACCCTAAAGCACATGGATCGCGACAATTTGAAAATGACTTATCGACACATTTTTCACACTAATGCCTTCTTTCCACACAGTCCATCCGTTGGAAACGGTTGGAATTTTCAACAAATGTGAAACTCCAATTTCCACAGAGCACATCAACCTTCCAATTTCAGCTGATCTGAACTAATAAATAGTAAATAGTAAATAGTAAATAGTAAATAGTAAATAGTAAATAGTAAATAGTAAATAGTAAATAGTAAATAGTAAATAGTAAATAGTAAATAGTAAATAGTAAATAGTAAATAGTAAATAGTAAATAGTAAATAGTAAATAGTAAATAGTAAATAGTAAATAGTAAATAGTAAATAGTAAATAGTAAATAGTAAATAGTAAATAGTAAATAGTAAATAGTAAATAGTAAATAGTAAATAGTAAATAGTAAATAGTAAATAGTAAATAGTAAATAGTAAATAGTAAATAGTAAATAGTAAATAGTAAATAGTAAATAGTAAATAGTAAATAGTAAATAGTAAATAGTAAATAGTAAATAGTAAATAGTAAATAGTAAATAGTAAATAGTAAATAGTAAATAGTAAATAGTAAATAGTAAATAGTAAATAGTAAATAGTAAATAGTAAATAGTAAATAGTAAATAGTAAATAGTAAATAGTAAATAGTAAATAGTAAATAGTAAATAGTAAATAGTAAATAGTAAATAGTAAATAGTAAATAGTAAATAGTAAATAGTAAATAGTAAATAGTAAATAGTAAATAGTAAATAGTAAATAGTAAATAGTAAATAGTAAATAGTAAATAGTAAATAGTAAATAGTAAATAGTAAATAGTAAATAGTAAATAGTAAATAGTAAATAGTAAATAGTAAATAGTAAATAGTAAATAGTAAATAGTAAATAGTAAATAGTAAATAGTAAATAGTAAATAGTAAATAGTAAATAGTAAATAGTAAATAGTAAATAGTAAATAGTAAATAGTAAATAGTAAATAGTAAATAGTAAATAGTAAATAGTAAATAGTAAATAGTAAATAGTAAATAGTAAATAGTAAATAGTAAATAGTAAATAGTAAATAGTAAATAGTAAATAGTAAATAGTAAATAGTAAATAGTAAATAGTAAATAGTAAATAGTAAATAGTAAATAGTAAATAGTAAATAGTAAATAGTAAATAGTAAATAGTAAATAGTAAATAGTAAATAGTAAATAGTAAATAGTAAATAGTAAATAGTAAATAGTAAATAGTAAATAGTAAATAGTAAATAGTAAATAGTAAATAGTAAATAGTAAATAGTAAATAGTAAATAGTAAATAGTAAATAGTAAATAGTAAATAGTAAATAGTAAATAGTAAATAGTAAATAGTAAATAGTAAATAGTAAATAGTAAATAGTAAATAGTAAATAGTAAATAGTAAATAGTAAATAGTAAATAGTAAATAGTAAATAGTAAATAGTAAATAGTAAATAGTAAATAGTAAATAGTAAATAGTAAATAGTAAATAGTAAATAGTAAATAGTAAATAGTAAATAGTAAATAGTAAATAGTAAATAGTAAATAGTAAATAGTAAATAGTAAATAGTAAATAGTAAATAGTAAATAGTAAATAGTAAATAGTAAATAGTAAATAGTAAATAGTAAATAGTAAATAGTAAATAGTAAATAGTAAATAGTAAATAGTAAATAGTAAATAGTAAATAGTAAATAGTAAATAGTAAATAGTAAATAGTAAATAGTAAATAGTAAATAGTAAATAGTAAATAGTAAATAAGGTCGGGAAGACTGGGTCTACTTCTCCGGTATTTCGGATATTCCTTGACGGTGGAATTTACGTTCCTAACCGCACTTTTCTAGCCGATATTTAGCCGATGTTTTTTCGGTGCAATTCTAAAGTCTTGGCGCTAAAGAATTTGAATTGAAATGGTTTCCGTGAAAAAGATGGTGGCTTTTTAAAAAAAGTGAAACTTTGGTTTCCACAGAGCACATCCACCTTCCGATTTTAGCTGATCTGAACAGCTGTCGCTCGTCAAAACGTCAACAAAGTCAAGAGGTCAACCATCTTTAGTAGGTGGATGTGCTCTGTGGAAAACGGAGTTTCACTTTGTTGAAAGTGACCGTTTTCAAAGGATTGACTATGTGGAAGAGAGCATAACTGGGAAGTTTTTGGAAAGGAAAAGACTTATGGACCATACCTTCAACGAATGGTGGAAGGAACTCTGTGGAAATCGGATATTTAATATGAAAATGCTATCATAAAGATCATCTATCGATATTTTAGTAGTAAAATGTTGCTCATAACTCTTCCATCGCTATTGTTTTTTGCTTTCGTCGACATCGATGCTATAAAATTAATATAATTTGTCCATTGCAGAATTCAATCCTTCGAAGAGTGAACAATAAGTTTGGACTCTTATATACGAAAAGCTGCAACAATATGGACGTAGATGATTATTTATACAGTAAGATCCTTCTGTTTATTAAATACATAAAAATATATTTTAAAATAACTTATTTGTGGCTGTCGGATATCTTCTGTAGACTTTTTTGCTACAAAGAAAACACCAAAATAAAGTAAATAAGTTGACATTATAACTGTAAGTAATGTGTAAAACGTTTGAGTAAGCTGCCTTCAGTTGCAAGAATAATATGACTAACAGCTAGTTTTTGAGCTTTGTACATACCTACATAGGTACAATGGGTACAATAAATATATTAAACCCTGTCCCCAACCGAAGACTATAACAATAAGATGTGTAATGAAAAAGAGCAAGAAAATGTCTAAGATTGTTAGGTCATGAGCTAGAACGGCCCGAGTTCGATTTCTGCTTGAATGCTTTATTTAGTCTATTTATTTTTTGGAGTAGGCATAAAATATTATAGTTGCTCTTGTTTTTTTTCAAACTGACTGTATGGTAATTTTATAATATATTAGTAATTTTTTACTAAGAAAATTGGTTGGCATACACGTTTTATTATATTTTTTACATTTTACTATGCTAGCTGATCAAATACATATATATAAAACTAACAAAATATTTTATAGAATCAAAAAATTGCAAAGGCAAAAAAATGAAAAGAAAAAAACTTATAAAAATATTAATTGTTAGCCGGCTCGAGGTCAGGACGTTGAAAAAAAAACACAAAATTATTTCAATTTTGGTAATTCGTCAATATATTTCGGTGGCTCTTCGGCAACCGTCTTCAGGACAACTATAAAATAATTACAACGATTTTAATATTTTTAACAAACAGAAATACAAAACAATTTACATTTGACCTACATTTAATTTACACGTCTGCGTCCGGTGACGTGGAGTTGTTAAT